CTCAGATGCACAACTGAGAACCACAGGAAGTAGTAAACCAGAGGGCACAGAAGACTGCAACAAAACATCTGAATCTAGATCTTTATTACTACAAAACCAAACAACAACAAAAAGAAAATCTAGCAAGATGTCCAGAACTATGTTTCTCATTGTGTGTGTTTTGTGCACGGCTGTGATGTCATAATATCATCATTAAAACAAGGTCAACAATTTTAGATAGCTGCCTGGTTGTGATCATGGTAATAATGAAATTCCCAAAACTTGTAAAAAATATATTTGAATTGGCATGTTTTTTAAACCAGCAAGTGTAACTTTTTTTTTTACCAGTGTCGTATCTACAGGCATGCTTGCATCGGATATGCATTGGGGTATTTCAATTAACGTACGTTTTTTTTTTCTTCACAAAAAATTTATCCACTTAATTACGACGTCAGAATAGCAAATGCTAAAGCATTTTTACATGTCTTTAAAAACAAAGGGGGGGGGGGGGGGGTGGGACAGAAGACAGGTTACTGTAATACTGTATTTTAAACAGCAATAGAACATTTGAACTGAGCAACAATATTGAGGTGTATCGAGGATACGCCTCAATATTGCTTTCTTTTTTATCAAGTCTGAGCTTTCAGTAAACACACACAAACAACGCAGTTCAGTGAGAGGACACATTCAGTTCAGGGAGAGGACACATTCAGTTCAGGGAGAGGACACATTCAGTTCAGGGAGAGGACACATTCAGTTCAGGGAGAGGACACATTCAGTTCAGGGAGAGGACACATTCAGTTCAGGGAGAGGACACATTCAGTTCAGGGAGAGGACACATTCAGTTCAGGGAGAGGACACATTCAGTTAGGGAGAGGACACATTCAGTTCAGGGAGAGGACACATTCAGTTCAGGGAGAGGACACATTCAGTTCAGGGAAAGGACACATTCAGTTCAGGGAGAGGACACATTCAGTTAGGGAGAGGACACATTCAGTTCAGGGAGAGGACACATTCAGTTCAGGGAGAGGACACATTCAGTTAGGGAGAGGACACATTCAGTTCAGGGAGGGACACATATTCGAGACACATCAGTCAGGAACACATCAGTCAGGGAGGACATTGTTCAGGAGAGACACATTCATTCAGAAGCCATCCATCAGGAAGACACACAGTCAACACGAAGCAGTGACATTTTTCAAAAATATCCCCCCATCCACCCAGAAAAAAAACAGGACAAAAGAGAAAAAGCATAGAACTTCAGAAACCGTTTCAGTCTCTTTTACTTGATGAAGAAGAGGTGATATAAGAAGAGAAGCACATTTTGTCTTGAATGTTACATTTCATATCCTCCTTCAGATTTTCAAGCTTTAAGAAGAAATGATCCTATATATGCGCTGCAAGACTTGTGCTATTGGGACATATTGGGGCATTTGAGGAATCAACAACTAATAACAATATTAATAATAACAATAATAATGAATAATAATAATGAGAGGTAATCAGCTTGGAGAGGAATAGGAGAGGGAAGGGAGATAGGCTTATGAATGTGCTTCACAGGGAGTGGAGAAAAATCCACCTTTTATTTTCAATGGTCCTTACTTTTTTTTCTCAAAGAGGATCAAACAAAAAATAGTAAAAACAAGTAAAATATAGGGATTTTACAAGTAGCTGGAGTGAGATGATGGGGCAGCAAAAAGCGGCACTCCAGTGTTGCCTCTCACCCCACCACACCCTTTCTGCAGTCCTGTACATGAGTTTCAGGGGAAGGTTTTGGGGATCCATTCCTCCCTTCAGTCACCCCTCTTCTCCACTCGTTCTCTCCCAGCCAAGGGCTCTGTCTCTGGGGTAGCCAGCAGCGGCAGCCCTGGGTCAGTTCTGGAGGAGCTGGAGGTCTCAGTACATGATGGGAGGCTTGGTATAGGGTCTGTTCTCTGTTAGGGAAACAGAAACATCAGTTAATCAAGTGATCCATCCATCCATCCTTACTACCTCTTTTAACAGACATAAAATGAAAATTCTCCCTTGTATTTTCCCACTGAGTAAGGTTTGCCCCTGAGAAACACATTTGCCAATGTATACTTGTTGAAGATGTTGTTGTCAGTATGAGTATTACATTTTGGAAAGTATCTCTTCTGCATATAAATAAAGTTGTTTACTCTCCAGAGGGTGTATATATTTCAAATGATGTGAAACTGAGTTTGTGATTTTTTCAAGTTTTCCGTGAGCATGAGAACACAAGTTCAACCAATGGAGTAAGTATCTATCTCCTTTAATGAAATGTGCGTCAGGAATAATATGGGTGATTAATCATTTAGTGTTAGTTGTCAACGGGAGGGGACAGCTGAAAGGAAAACAGCTGGATAACAAAGTGACTGGAGTCAGCAGCTGCATGTTAATCTCTACATGGTAGTGAAGCACCATTAGATCATCTCACTGGAGATAGAGAGAGCATGGGTAATCACTGTGCTAAGGAGAGTGGTTCTGCATGCTTGATATGTGTTCTGGGAACTGGGAAAAGACAACAGAACATTAGATAAAAAAGCAATGTTCGGTGGTGTTGGAGGATGAGGGCCAGAAAGAGACATAATGAGAGAGTGATGGACTGACTGACTGTCTGTCTATACTGTCTGTCTGTCTGTCTATACTGTCTGTACTGTCTGTCTATACGGTCTATACTATCTGTCTGTCTGTCTGTCTATACTGTCTGTCTATACTGTCTGTCTATACTGTCTGTCTGTCTGTCTGTCTGTCTGTCTATACTGTCTGTCTGTCTATACTGTCTGTCTATACTGTCTGTCTGTCTGTCTGTCTATACTGTCTGTCTGTCTATACCGTCTGTCTGTCTATACTGTCTGTCTGTCTGTCTATTCTGTCTGTCTCTGTCTGTCTGTCTGTCTATACGTCTGTCTGTCTGTCTATACTGTCTGTCTATACTGTCTGTCTGTCTATACTGTCTGTCTGTCTGTCTGTCTATACTGTCTGTCTGTCTATACTGTCTATACTGTCTGTCTATACCGTCTGTCTGTCTGTCTATACTGTCTGTCTGTCTGTCTGTCTATACTGTCTGTCTGTCTGTCTGTTTGTTTATACTGTCTGTCTGTCTGTTTGTTTATACTGTCTGTCTGTCTGTCTGTCTGTCTGTCTGTCCTGTCTGTCTGTCTGTCTGTCTGTCTGTCTGTCTGTCTATACTGTCTGTCTGTCTGTCTGTCTGTCTGTCTATACTGTCTGTCTGTCTGTCTATACTGTCTGTCTGTCTGTATGTCAGTCAGAGTAGAAAGAGGAGAAGAGCAACACTCCTTGATTCTCTAATTGTATTCCAATGTTAATATGTATGGTCAGGATAACTACATTTGACATTGTGTTTACATCTGCTCTATCTGCTGTATGTTTAACCCTTCTCGGAATGTGCAGGGTGACGTGACAAGATGTTTAGTATGGTGGCAGAATGGCTGTTGTGTTGCAACACCTCTAGGGACTATCCTCAGCAGCTCAATCCATATTTAACATGACTCTGGCCCTCTGGCCCTCTGGCCCTCTGGCCCCATTCTTTTCTGCATAGACTGCAAACGGGCTAATTGCAGCCGATCTGAGACTGCCATAAAGCTTCACCTTGATATTTCATGCTCGCTCTTTTTTCACTGGGTTGCCAATTAGTGAGTTGCAAACTTTGGAAATGAACGGTACCCAAGGGTCTCATTTGGTGTATGTTACTACAGCGTTTGTTTGGAACTAAAGCAGGTTAGGATATTTCTGGTTATTTGGGAGTAGATTATTCCTGTAGGTGAAGATGCTGAAATGTTTTTTAAGGAACAAGTGGTTGTGACAGGAGCCAGAGTGAAGAGGAGCGTGTTAGTTGGTGTAATAACAGCTAGAGTGGTGAGGTCCTCATCTATCCTTTCTGGTC